CGCACGAGGAATGTCGTTTGTAGTGGAACGAGAGGACGAAATAATAGAATTAGATCGACCAGACTAGGAGACCTCCTCACTCGTCTCGCTATAATATGAGCTAAGTTCCGTCACGAAGACCTTAATATCCGCCACTTCCGCCGCCTCCCACTCGTTCGTTTGTTTATTCAATATCGTCGGCCGTCTTACGAGGTCGAGCCTCGTCTCTTCCTGACCCTTACGTGGTAATATAATTCTCTTCTGTGTGGCGCTACACGCGCATGTACGCTAATTGATTTATGAAATAATCGCGATGCAGTATTTACTCTTAGGAAAACTGCGGAAAATGTCGATAAAGTAACAGGAAAAATAAGATCGCGTGACATTACACGAGGGAAATATGTTATAAATATTTTTCATGAGTGTACAATTTTTGTGAGATTTTACGACTGAAAATGTAGACTTTCTCTCGCGATCTACAAATACTTACCCAAATGTTCCACAACCAAAACACGATCGGCGTTCGTCTCAGTATTTACTCTTAGGAAAACTGCGAAAAATGTCGATAAAGTAACAGGAAAAATAAGATCGCGTGACGTTACACGAGGGAAATATGTTATAAATATTTTTCATGAGTGTACAATTTTTGTGAGATTTTACTATTGAAAATGTAGACTTTCTCTCGCGATCTACAAATACTTGCCCAAATGTTCCACAACCAAAATACAATCGGCGTTCGTCTCTTCAGTATTTACTCTTAGGAAAACTGCGGAAAATGTCGATAAAGTAACAGGAAAAATAAGATCGCGTGACGTTACACGAGGGAAATATGTTATAAATATTTTTCATGAGTGTACAATTTTTGTGAGATTTTACTATTGAAAATGTAGACTTTCTCTCGCGATCTACAAATACTTGCCCAAATGTTCCACAACCAAAATACAATCGGCGTTCGTCTCTTCAGTATTTACTCTTAGGAAAACTGCGGAAAATGTCGATAAAGTAACAGGAAAAATAAGATCGCGTGACGTTACACGAGGGAAATATGTTATAAATATTTTTCATGAGTGTACAATTTTTGTGAGATTTTACTATTGAAAATGTAGACTTTCTCTCGCGATCTACAAATACTTGCCCAAATGTTCCACAACCAAAATACAATCGGCGTTCGTCTCTTCAGTATTTACTCTTAGGAAAACTGCGGAAAATGTCGATAAAGTAACAGGAAAAATAAGATCGCGTGACGTTATACAAGAAAAATGTTATAAATATTTTTCATGAGTGTACAATTTTTATGAGATTTTACGACTGAAAATGTAGACTTTCTCTCGCGATCTACAAATACTTGCCCAAATGTTCCACAACCAAAATACAATCGGCGTTCGTCTCTTCAGTATTTACTCTTAGGAAAACTGCGGAAAATGTCGATAAAGTAACAGGAAAAATAAGATCGCGTGACGTTATACAAGAAAAATGTTATAAATATTTTTCATGAGTGTACAATTTTTATGAGATTTTACGACTGAAAATGTAGACTTTCTCTCGCGATCTACAAATACTTGCCCAAATGTTCCACAACCAAAACACGATCGGCGTTCGTCTCAGTATTTACTCTTAGGAAAACTGCGAAAAATGTCGATAAAGTAACAGGAAAAATAAGATCGCGTGACGTTATACGAGGAAAATGTTATAAATATTTTTCATGAGTGTACAATTTTTTACGACTGAAAATATAGACTTTCTCTCGCGATCTACAAATACTTGCCCAAATGTTCCACAACCAAAACACGATCGGCGTTCGTCTCACGTGGCAGATATTTCAATCTCGGTCACGATCGCCAATTATTATTACGGCAATTAGCGAGGAGCTATTTAGAAAAGCTATTCCTTACTTTGGATAAAAAATGTCCCGCACACGAAAACTCGTACATCATCGACATAACACAAACTCTCGGGTCACGAGAGTCGTATTGTCTAGCGGACGAATCGCTCACGGAGCAGCGAGCAAGAAATTCGATGTGGGTTAAATGCTAATTGCTCAAAGTCGGACAACTCCAGTCGAGCGGCGAATCCCTCGGGTGGCACGATCTGCGGCCACGATAAAGCGAACTACACGAAGTCCGTGCGTTCTTATCCACACTTACATTGGGAAGGTTAAGAGGAACGTGTATGCGGCGCTGGATTTCTGGGGCACTTTGGCTTTCGTGTAGTGATTGCGTGTTGTTGCACGTTCTCGCGGGCTTGATGGTTACTTGGAAAAGGATTTTCTACGATATTGAAAATAAAAGTCATCGATATTACCAAGTTAACGCGTCCAATGAGTAACTCACGGTAAATTATTCATGGAAATCGAAAAGTGGAATCGCTCAAGAAGACGGAAAAGATCTTACATCCAAACATATCATTATTATTATGAATATTTACCATGCCATATTAACATATACAACACGTGAAACGTTTGATAAAAAAAAAACATAAATTTTGTGTCTTGTATGATAATATTGTGCTTCGCTACTCATTTTCATATAGCAATAATGTATCGTTTTCTTTTGATCTCCGATAGAGACAATGTAATAATAATAATAATGAAAATATAATAATAATGAGATCAGCGCAAATAATATTACGAAGTTACTGTAAAATAACACATCTAATATGTTTAACAGGTTACCAGCCATAAGTATTAATGTAGTTATAAATGACGTAAATCTCATATTCTTGTAACACAAGGAAGAATAAAATTCAATCTATTAAAATAACAAGATAAATCATCAATTCAAGAATTGATCGGGATAGTTATATCGGCAGGAGATAGATGTATATGTGTGTGTAATAGGGGGTAAATATATCTGTGCTAAATATGAGCGTCTGCCGTTAAGAGCTTGTGCATAATGCGATAATATGACGCTAAGAGTGCTCAGTGACGGACTCGTTAGACCAGATCTGCCAGTTTTATTGAAATCTGCCGTACGCGTCGACAACTAGAAAGTGCCCTGAATCGATCGTACGGCTCTTCTATCTACTTTATTGAGTAAACAAATGACATCGCAGTCTGAACGAGCTGCCATATAGCTTTTATCTTTTCCTGAGATGAGCATAATTGCGCCTAATTACCATGACATCTTCAATTTGACATTTGCAAAAATGTGAGTATTTCTTGTCTATTAAATTAATACATTTTTCTATTTCTTTTCCGCATATTAAGCAAAGCATTGACAAATTAAACGTGATTCTCGAAGAAACATAAAACGTCAGAGTTTCTGTGTGAGCAAGAAATCGGTTTACGCGATTGCAATGAGTCCAATTCGACTCGATGATATCTTCAAGGTAGCCGAGAGCAAATAAACATCCACTCGACGTAATCTTTTTGAAAACTCGCCGGGTCGAGTGTAGGCGCCAGCGAGGACTCGAGAGAGCTTTATTGAGCATTGTGTCCATTATACGTTTTTGTCTGTTCATCCTCTCTCTTTCGTCACGAGGTTTCTCGTGAGGCCCGCGAGACTCCTCGCATTGTCATACCGAGGTGGCCTCCACCTTTTTCTCCCTTTCTTTCTTTTCTCTATATATAAGTATAAGTTTACGTTTGGAAACCACGGGCCCACAGGGTCCCGCGGTATTCATCCCGGGGCATACCTTTTTCTGCCGCATAGTCCCGCACAGACGAGTAGATCTAGTCGCGCGTGGCGACCGACCGATCTTGAAATAGGGATACCTTGTTGTCTCCGAGAAGTGAAGACGTTTTTATTTCACATTTCTTGGATGTTAAGTATTTCTCTGAATGAGCCTCAAATAAATGTATTCAATCATGGTTCAGTTCAAACGTCGCCTTTACTTAAACACATTTTTATTCTGTATTAAGAAAAAGTAAGATGAAAATAGAATGAAGAAAATATATGCTGAGTAAGAGATCTATAGAATAGATTGAAAGACGAAAATATTAATTTATTTTATACGAAAGATTTTGATTTTGTTTTTTATTAGAAAATATCTCCGCAAAACACCGTATTCACAACGCACGCGGTTGTTCCTGCTTTCGAGCGAGATGTTTTCTTTAAGAATAGAAGCTCATGAGAAGATACAGGATACAACGTGCCTCCTCTTTGAGCAAGATAGGAGTACAGTTATCCATAAAAGTAGAGCATGCGTACGCTGGCTTTAGAGCGGCAGGTGGCTGTCGCTGAACAAAGAGAGAAGGAGCGGAAAGAGCGCCAGTACACCGTCATCCATCGGGACAGCGCGAGAGAGTACTCGTTCACTCGGAGATGATCGAATAATTGAGTCAATGTTCGCTCATTACACGAAAATGCGGCAGTTCGTGGAAGACGTACGTATATACGTTGCATTAATCACCGATCGCTTCTTCTCGATATGCGCTGCATTAATCACCGGTCACTTCTTCCTTTTTTCCTTCCCGTTTCTCCTACACTATAAATAATATTTCGTATTTCCATTCAAATAGATCTCTGTGGAAATTTTCGTGTTAAATTTTTTACACATTTGTGTGTTAATTGAACATATTGTCGTTGACTATTCCGCGTTGAACTCAAATTTGCCATTTATAAGTGTTATACTAATATAATCTAACATGCAAATATACGAAATAGAATTGTTGGTGACATTTTATATGTAAAGTGTATAGATATAAGTTATGTTATTTGGTTAAACATATTTGCTATTAGTATTAAATTAACACGAAAATTAGAGTGAATAAATTGAGACATGTGTGAAATGTGTTGAATTTAACACAAAATTTGTTGCAGTGTACCTTTGCAGGCACGATTCCATTGAAATCAAGTTATTAACGATCGCGAAAGGATTCTTGAAGGACGGGTATCGGAACAGGAACACAAGCGAGATATCACAAGGCGATGTTTTAAATTGAATTAATTAGTTATTATTTATATTTTATACAATAGTAATCATAATTAAGGTATTTTAGTTCTCGTAATATTCTATATCCGTACAAGGGTACTGGGTAAAATCGTTAAATCGGGGTCTGCCGTGTACATCCTATATGTATATAGACGATTTTTCTAGGCCTCTCTCTTGTTTTTTTTTTTCTGTCCCTCGTCCTCGTATCTCTTTACATTCTTATCACAATATCGTATTTTACACAAATTCACTTACACGCTAGAGGGCCCCAGTGCAATATGTACAGGCGTTCGGGGATCGATCTCTCAGCTTAATCGACGAGCTCGATCGATCTCCGGTGACTTGCACCGAGACTAGTAACACTAGTAAATTCTACGGACACTTTTTACGCTTTTTGTCATTCTTTCTCCCTCTCTCTCTCTCTCTCTCTCTCTCTCTCTCTTTCTTTCTCATACACGCCCAAACATACATACATACACACGCCATGTACACGCGCATACAAACACATATACACAACAGACACACACACATAACACGCATACTTCGATCGCGTTAAGTTCACATTCGTCCTTGCGCGCGGTGTTGTCATAGTCTGCGTATTCGATGAAAGCGTGGTAAAGGTGGGACGCGTCGCGTTGTTTTGCACATTATATTTCATCGATGCTGTCGGATCGACGTATTCTTACGTCGCAGAAGTTAATGCTGTTATCTGTTGGAAACTGCGAGCACATCACTTTCATCGAAAAGTACAAATGATCTTTTGACAATATCTTCTCTTTCTTTAATACGAGCCGTTACTGTATACTATCGACTTAATGTAAAACAAATAACTAAATTTCCGGCGCAAAAAGATAATTCTTTTTTTTTTATCTGAACGATTGCTTTTCTGGAAATTCAATGACAGTCTCGATAATATCGATCGGAACGCGCGCCGCCACTTCGACCATGCCTAATTGTTTTACGCTGCTTTTCGCATTTCCGGCTTTACACGAAATTTAGGAACTGAGGGGAGTTTCGTCTTAAATTATATACGCACACGCCTTCTTATTGCACCGAATCAAAACGCAAGAACCCGTCCGAGAAGGCCGTCCCGTGCCTCCTAGTTCTCCACAGCGCGGTTTGCGGTTAAATCTAACGGCACTTATTATTATACACGGGGGAACACGAATCGCCGTCATCGTCACCGCCAGCGCATCTTTCGCATGCGCCGTCCTGACGATGATGACGACGACGCGGACGTCACGACGTAGAAATTCTGCGTCACAACGACATCGATCCCCGGAACGTAGCCTACCTTCCAGCTCGGCTACCTTTTTTCGCCGCGAGACTTTACGTAAACTTCGTGTGACGTAATAATCGCGTTCAGCAGCGAACGCGGCCGATATACGAGCGGAAGGGCAGTTTTTTTTTTAGCTAAAGCTAGTTTTGTACTGTCCTCTTTGTGCACCACGGGGTGACCCCAGCAGCCTACTCCGCCGCGAGTTTCCGTGCCGCGGACTTGCGCGGTGCTGATGTCTTCGTCGATTCCGATGGAATCGGGAAAACCGGCGGAATTGCGGGTGCATTACGTGAGATCTCACATACTATCTCGATTGTTGACTCCAATCAATATTCGAGAGCTTCGGAAACCCGTATGTCTATGTTAAGGATGAATTCACACCTTGACAGAAAAGCAGAAAACAAAAAGGCAGGTGGTCAGGTGGTAATCGACAGCTGCTTCTGCTTTTCCACCAGCGTGAGCTTCTGACTGGCTTCTGTCTTCCTGCTTTTCTACTGAGGCGAGAATTTTCTCTTGTTGTAAATACGTTTTGTCGTTTAGGATTGAATCCGCGGATACATTATAAACTTTCAAATGTCCTAATGTCGAGTTTGAATAAGAAAATTCGTTCAAAGTGAGCTATGTTTCAGAATTTAGGGTATCTCAACGCAGATATCCGAAATTGGGATATGCGAAACTGTGAGGCCTGGCGGCTTCAGCGTACATCGCGACATGTGCCGAACGGTAACATCAATCAGAGCGGAGAAAAAGGCAGAATCAGGAAGGAAAGGGACTCTGCGGGACTACGCGTTCTCATGAGACGACGTCCATTGTTGCACCGACGAGACAGTGGATGTAGGTCAGCGGTGGGGCCCGCCGACCCTCCCAGTTTCCCGCGGTCGCAAGCCGCAGCCGCTGTTTTTGCGGTTTGGCATCGTCTCTTGTGGAAAGCTAGATATTGCGCGACGCAAGATGGCAAGGGTGACCCAATATGGCCGACGAAGAATAGCAAGGAAGAAACAGCGTAAAACAGTCCACCGCTTCGTTCACCCGCAACTTGACCAGCCCGTAGCGCGACGCTTAGGCTGTTGCAGCGGCGGAAAAAAAATAACCGCTATTTAAAAAAGATTTCGACGTTGCTACTGGAAGTTGCATCTTCAGATTTTTGCGGCAAACTGTTCCATTTAATTTGTTATTCATTTATCGGGGACTTTTTTGCCTAGTTTATATATTAACAATGAGATACATCCCTCGCAAAATTTATATTTAATAAAATTACGCTTTTGGTATGAGCGCGAAGGTCTATAAATAAATAAATATTTTTGAAACTACTTTTATAATATAAAAATTTCCGATGGGTTTGATTCGTTATATAAAATACATTGAGACTGATGGCGATTAAAGAGGGACTGCGTATTGGCTACGAAAGGGACTACAATACACGAACGACCGATTGGAGTCGAAACCCAAGCAACGTTTTCCTTAGATTTTCGAAGTTCTTAATGAGCTCAGACGTCGGCAGCGTCCCGCGCGTCGCCGGTCGAGATAATGATTTTTTCTCCAGTTCGTCCCTCGAGCTGTCGCTCCTCCGTTCATCTCTCGCGTATTCCTCTCCTCTCTTCTTCGGAGGAGGCCCCCGGCCGGTTGCCTCATCCGGAAAGGAGGGACCGGTGATTACAGCGAGCCACCGTGATTGCCGAGATCGTTTGACTCACGAAAATGTCATTAGGATTTCATTACTTCCAACCGCCTTGAGGAACGACTGCTCAACGAGTTTATGCAATGTTGTTTCTCTTTTTCCCCCCGTCTTCTCCTCCCCATCTACCGTTCCGCGCAACTTCGCCGATCCTGTCATTCCTCTCTGTCTATCACGCGAGATCCAGCCCGCGCACGAAGTAGGTCGGCTGCACTCGCGGTTGTTGGGTAACTGTCACAAAGGATCGACCGACCTAACGTCATCAGCAATTGACATTTGCGAGGAGATGGAAATTGGTTTTTAGAGATGCACGATCGTGCCGAACCGGCCTGGTTCAGAAAGGTGACGAAAATATCGCTCGAGCGAGTCGCACTGGAAAGGATCCCGGCCTAGTCCCGTTGTTTGCCAGGGTTTGTTAATCCTGTCTAGGGCACAATTACCGGACAAATATCGGATGTGGGACAGTGATCTCAAACTTGATCCGCGTTCTTTCCATTACTTTCAGGTTGCGACGTTTCTTTACGAAATTTGCCCACACCGTTACGTTATCGCACCGATCTTGTTAATTATCCTTAAGTTTGGGAGTAGTTGGGAGTGTTGTGCGAGTTCAAATAGTTCGTCTCGTCCAAATAGGACGGAAAATAATGTTTATTTGTCACACTAGTAAATTCTTTATTCGTCAACACCGATGTAGAACCGAGAGAGAATCCGTAATTAAATTGAGATCACCCGAGCAAGGGAGTTAAAATGGAACTATTCGAAGAGACTTCTAATCGGAAGAATTTTGCCAGCTGTTCGACAAACATTCGTACGTATCTCCTGCAACCTCCGCTATAAAACTTCCGCAGCTTAAGCTTAGTGTCTGAAAGTGACATGAACAGTTGGATGTTCAAAGGGTGCTTAAAGGATGCTTAACAATCCCATATACATTTACTCTTTCCTACCTGTGGCTGTCAGAATTCATATCGACATACGCTCTGCCGAAGAAATTCAATGAAAACCAAGACATGTCGATGAACCCAATCAGGCAGAAGCGATTAGTCACGTGTCATGATTGCAGAAAATCGCTACCACTTGTTTGATCGTATAACAGTGGTAAGCCAACTTGAGCAGAGATTTACAAGAGCGCAAAGAGAGAAAGAGAGAGAGAGAGAGAGAGAGAGAGAGAGAGAGAGAGAGAGGGAGAGAGAGAGAGAGATACAGACGAAATCGCGATCAGAAATACGTTGGTCGAAAATTCGCGTTTTCGATTGGGATCATAAATAGTTCCATGATAACTCCTCAAGAATCCTTGATCAACGGATTTTATCGATTCGTTCTAAAGATAATTGCGACTGAAGATGACAGCGACAATTGTAGATCAGAAGTCTCAAACTTGATGCTCCGAGCTCTCAGAGAGAATAGCTGAAAATAATGTCAATTATATTAAGTATAAATGTCGAATCGTAGTAAACGTTAAAATTGATCGGCGAAGAAATGCTTTTTATAGCGGGTCGTGGGTTTGAGGCTTCTGATATACAAATACAACCAATTAACACCTAATAATGACGATTGGATTACTTTTGGTAACACGTAATTGCGATGGCAACGTCACACAATTGAATATTTTCTACTAGAAAATAATTATATTGTGTAATGTTTCATTTGATTAACAATTAACTCGAGCGTGTAAACTCGGTACACAATACCACGCTTGACGAACGGCGGACAACAACATTTTCATAATGAAAATAATTATTTGGAGGCAATCTTCGCTTATAATTAACCGTTGTAATCAGATCCGATGCACGCAATCGCGACAGTCGACACGAACAGACATAGACGAGCCGTTTTATATATCCCCGGAAAAGAGATTCCTCACGATTCTTACTTCTGCGACAACGATTATTTGCCAAACACGAAAAGCGTTACAGTCGTGACAATCACTCAATCATACGCGTAGCTTTACAAATATGCGCCGATTCGTAAATCGAACTTCAAGATCACCAACGTACGACCGTAGATCATCAAAGAATGAGCGTCGCGAACGGTCGGTTCCCCGCAATTTTACGTAGTGACCGCTATTACCTGACATCACTATCACTTTTTCTTTCTTTCCTTTTTTTACAGCGTTACTTCGCCATGTGCGACATGTGACGATGTTGTCATTCTCTTCTTCCAACCGACGTTGATTCGCAGGACGGAAGTAGGAAACGGCCGGCTCAAACACATCCCGCGGCACAACAAAACGACAAGCGCACCAAAACCGTGTATGTCACTAATCGGTCAAGAATCACTCGACGAGCGTATCGTTTATGACTTCTGGTTTTTGGCAACGACCCCGTCAGTAGCCAACGTTGGCTGCGCACTCGGTCCTCTTCGTCAGCTTTGAGCTTTGCTTCGTTGACAACACATGTCGTTGCTAATCCAGGATCGGCACTCGCGGCTGCATCATCATTAGTGTTATTATCATTAATATTTCGCTAAAAGACGTGTATTACGACGTCGCACTGTTCGTACTACTCTCACTTCGACGGACGGCCCGCACGGAAACCGGTACGCGGGTTTCGTTAGACGATTAAAAACAATATTAACATTCAATTTTCCTCGCGAGAGGCGCTACACGTATTCACACTTTGGGGTAGGAGCGCTGGTATGTCCGCGGTGCCACGAAGAGATGGTTCACTTGAACTCAGTTCGATGGACATCTTCGTTAAACTGCTGGCCATACCCTGAAAAATGCACAAACATCCATACAGTTAGTAAATGTCAATGTGAGCGATACAATTAACAATAATTTTGCGACGTTTTGGAAGATTATTCGCGACCTACTATTCAAGACGATAAATTTACATGTCCGTCCCGTGTGAATATATTTCACATATCTGAGCCACGTTACGCATCTCATATATACGTCGATTCTCATAGTTATTATATTGTTAAAGAGATACGCGATAATTTTGAAACGCTTCCGGAATTACAGAGTGATGAGTATTACGGCAAAGCGGGTGAAGTAAATTTGTCGCGTCATGTTAGTTCTCAGTGAATAGAAGAAATGTCCCACATGTCCCAAAGGGACACATGACTGGCAGTACCAGTTTATTACGTTGAGGCGCGTTGATTGACGCGGCTCACTTTGATTTCAAGTTGAAAATATCTGCGATTAAATATAGAAATATCATTCAGTTTTTCCTCATACTTGTATCAATAGTCGATGTGAGTTACGACTGTTACAATGACGAAGATGTATTCAACTACGAACATACATTGTATTACAAAAAGTACTATTTATTCCTTCATTGCACATAAATGACTTAAGCTCAATAGGTGCTGCATGCTGCACACGACTTCTCTCAATCTTCCGCGCATGAACACATTCTAGAAAAAAATTGAATACTAATAACTTTATTAATTCCGCAATAACCTTCCTCTCCTTCTCTCTAATTTCCAAAGGCAATGCATATAGACTTATTTACATAGACTGAGCGTTATACGAGAGGCTACGACCCGAGCAGAAAATGATATTCTGTTAGTGCAGGCATTCTATTTTTGCCTAGCTTGATTTCTATTGGACGTCTAGCTTTCTCCAATAGAAGTCAAGCTAGACAAAGATAGAATTCCTGTGGACATTGGAAGGAGAATATAGCTGTCCTTCAAATCATATCTTCAAACAAGTAGGCACAGTCTATGTATCTCATTATATATCTTATTAATATGTTCCATTATAACAATGAAGGTAACTTTCGTCAGCTTTTTAAAGATATTACATGAGATATGGAGAAGGAACTCCTTGACAACGAAAAATTATGATTGATAAATATATAAATCTATACACACAGAAAAATATCATTTTATTGCTAAAAGAAACTGATCGTTTGCTTCTATTCTTTTAAATAACGATTATCTTCAACAAAGGATATTTTCTTGATAATAGTCTTAAAACATCAGAAATTTTTGATGTTTTATACACTCGAAACTCATGTTTCATGCATTGAAAAGAAGATTTTATTCCAAGAATAAATATTTACAAGAATATTGTAAAATTTCATTGAAAGAAAATTTGGCTCGACTCTATGTAGTAAGCAAACCGAGTTTTTCCTCTTGATTTAATATTCTTGATTGAATCGATGAACTCATTACGATTCAGAATAAATTGGATGATAAACTTGATAGATTTACGGATATATAAACTCTTATAAGGTACTCTCGAAACGAAGTAACATTCACACGAATGCAGTATGTATTTTTCCGTGTGTACGGCAATGCATCAAGCCGCCGTTGGCATAGATCCATTCGAATTCGGCACTTACGTGAGTAATCCGGGATTAGGGTCCGCCTGGTACCAGGAATACTGCGGCATGTAACCCGCGTGATGCGGCGGCGGTGGCGGTGGTGGTGGATGATGTCCAGGCGTATGCGGATGATGGTGGGTATGGGGTGGCGCGTGAGGATGCGGATGGTGCTTCATCTCGCCCGGCCAGGAGGGTGCCGGTGGGCTTTCGTTGTGCTGAGGCGACATCTCACTTCCGGGACTCGAGCTCCCAGGGGTGTGACCGCCACCCCCGCCACCCATGCCGCCGAGATAACCCGTCGTTGGGCTGCCCGACACGGAACTTCCGCCCCCTGAAACACAACGCGAACCGAGAACCGTTTCAGAGTGCTCCGGATCTCGGCGGGTGTGCCGCGCTACCGTCGCCGCCGCCGTCGCATTCAGTCGCGCGCGTTACTGCACATGCAGCTGCGTGTGCCTGAATGGGACCGGCGTCGTAAATTGTATTAATCGCGCGGGGGAACTCTCCGCGCTCGGCATTGTGCGCTAATGCATCTGGTGGTTGCTTCGGGCCGGGAAAGAGTTTCCAGGACGATCGCGGGGCGTTCGATTCCACGGCGTCGACGTGTCGGGTTGGCTTTAAAGTTGAGGTCTGTTCGCGGAATGGGGTATGCATATATAGTTCATCTCCGTCTTTCTCTCTACGTCAGGCTTTCGTGACATTCTGCCATTTAGAAGTGTTCTGATTTTTATCTTTTCCGAAACCCGGTATCACCTTGACGCTATTCTCTCTTAAGCGCAAGGCACGAGGGGACGTGCTTCTTAATACATTAAGGTGCATTATAAAGAACATGTTTAGTCTCATTAACATCTGCTCTTTCAAATTCTTACAACGCTCAAATAAAATATTAGGAAGATATAAGGAAAGATATAGATAAAAGAAAACTTATTTTGCACGTTAGTCTGTATATGATGAAGACATACCGACGGATTGGAATTATAACGGGCGTCACAATGATAAATTTTGTTGCGCCGTAAGGCATTCCCAGCGAAAGAAATTTCTCAAGAGGCTAATTATATCGGTTGCGTCTTTCACGATGTGTATTTCTAAATAAATAACTCACAAGGCAGATTGCGGATTACCGTTAGCCGCAGAAAGAGACCGAGAAAGAGAGCAGCATTGAAAGTGGTACCGTCGTTAGCGACAGCCGACACGGGCGGTGGCAAAGTATTCGCGAGATGGAAAATGCGGCCCGTGAAAATTGCATCGGAATATTAGTTTTGTAATTACGGAGCGAAACGGCGATTGCGGAAATTGCGACGGTGATGCGGTAAGTGATGGAGCAGCCCCGTCAGCCAAGCAATCATCGCGCGCGTTCGCCGGTGACATTCAATTAACGTCCGTGGACATTCGCTCGATTAAAAATGCGCGATCAAGCAGACGAAAATAGATCAGTCGATCATAAAAGCGATCCGATCATCCATAAGACCCATCCAAACACGCGGCCCCTGAGACACAGGGTAATTTTGCAATAAAAGAAGTTGCTTGTCGTAATTATTTCGAACTTAATTCATCGACACACACATATATATATATATATATATATATATTTGACCCGCAACAGTGATGGACTCACCTCCTTGCATGAGACTTCCGGGTTGTCCTGGCTGAGGGGATGGTCCTCCAGGTAGAGCAGTTCCACCTGCTAAAAGATTGCCGTGCTGCCCGCCGCCACCACCTCCTCCCTGCTGCGCCGCTTTCATCATCTTCTTATATTTACTCCTCCTATTTTGAAACCAGATCTTCACCTGTAATGAGAAAGCACGACATTTGAGATATATGTTTGTAGGTATAGAGAAAAAGAATTATGTTAGGCGCCATGTATCCAACATAGTCTGATTCGGTTTTAGGAATAGCGACAATGAATACAAAAGCGGCATTATTATAAATGCGAGTCTCTCTTATCTTATTATAATAATGAAAGTAACTTTTGTCAACTTTTCAAAAATATTAAATGGCAAAAGGGATACGCGGAACTCTTTGGCAACAAAAAGATATTATGAATAGATATAAAAGGATAATAAGGGGAAGAGAGAAAGAGAGAAAGAGGGAATGAATGAGTGAGTGAATAAGTGAGTGAGTGAGTGAGTGAGTGAGTGAATAAGTGAATGAGTGAGTGAGTGAGTGAGTGAGTGAGTGAGCGAGTGAGAGAGAGAAAAAGAGGGAAAGAGAGAGAGAGAGAGACGACTTGTTGAATATTTACTAATATTAATATTCATTATATTTGTATTTTCATAAGTATTCAAGATTGTTTGTCATATTATTTCCTTAAACCCGCACATGGATTCAAGGATTTGAATATTCATGCATTGAAGGATTAATAAATCATAAGCGTTATAGTATACTTCTTATGATTTGTAATCAACATATTTTTTTACATGAATTACCTCACACCTCATATTTTCAATATTGCGACGTTCGACTATACATAGGAAATTGCAAGATTTACAGCGCATTTTTAACGCACGTCATAAATTACTATATATGTTAATTATTATAGTTATCGTATCGATTCATATCTTGTCCTTGAGTAATTAAACCTTGAGTAATTAAAAAAAAGAATGGTGTCATTTTTAATTATTATAATATAAAGTCACCAGAGAGAGAATATAACAACCGAGATATAAAACCTATCGATCCGCACAGTCGCGGATAGAAACATATTTTGCAAACTGCGATGCGCAAGCATGCTTCAATCTAATCTGATGCCTCGCATCATCGCTCCATACTGCCGGGTTAGACTCGGCGGCAAAGATGAAATAAAAAAAAGAACGCTCGTCGTTTCGTAATCGCCGTTTCTTTTGCCTATGCGATGCATAGAACCGCAGTGACGGCGGCTTCGTAGTCCTGCGGCGCGGATACCGGTGCGCGTGCGCAACCGCTAGGATTGCACATGCGGTATTTTTTGTCTCCGTATCGCATACATGCACCGCATGCACGTGACGCGCTGCTCAATCTTACGTAACCTTGCCTCGCGGAGCTAAGTGTATACGCATATAGGAATTACGCGAGGTATATTCGCGTTTCGCACGACAGCCCGAACCGAAGCCATATGTTTGGACGTACATACCGCCGGAGTTGTTTCACGAAACAAATTCCACCGTCCAAGACTCCTTTCTGTACGCTCCTGTCCTGACGGAGTGATATTTTTCTTTTGTTTTATAACAAGTGTTATATTTCGTTTCAGGAGATCGTAAGGCAAAATGAGTTTGTTAAGAATTTACTGGAACTTGCACTACATATAAATTGAAATATTGTATAACTGCTCGTGCAATTGAAAAAGATTGATCATTCGAGAGTTGGAATATTTTAAACTAAAGTTGGCACTTTTTATACATATTCCGTACAGTTCGCGCACTTAATTTTTAATTGCTTGTAAATTAATATTATAATTTTAACGAAAAACTACTGTAATATTAAAAACCAATGTACTGACATTATGCATAATATTATTCAAGATTATTGACCATTTTGTTTGGAAAACACAGTGGTGGAAAGTATAATTTATAGTAATACTCCGTGCATCTCTATCAGATAAACTGATGAATACTGCATCAGATAAACTGACAAATGAAGCATTAAAAAAAACTATTAATATTTTCCGTATTGTATATATTCCGTTGTGTATATGTATCTTAACATCTTAACTTCGCCTCAAATTAACATTCATTACTTAGATAATGAAATAAATATATAAAAACATAATTTTTTGCTCGATAAATAATAAATTTATAAATTATCCTCTTGATACGCCACTGAAACTACGAGCCTTACAATCTCCTTAATTTTATCTGAATTCATCAATATGTGGTTATAAGTTTTTCTTTCATTACTACTGAAAACTCATGTGCATTAACAAATGTATGTCAGTAGGTTGCCCAATCGGGGTAAAATTTTTTTCAGATCGAAGAGTACTGGAGGGTCGATCATTATTTTTAGTATCTCCACACATGCTCACACTCCTAGCGTGTCCTGACATATTCATAATTCCCGTCATTCTGTAGCGCGATGTGGAGATGTTCGGCTGTGTCGGATGACTTAGCCAAAAACAGAGAGAAATACCTTTTATTAATAGTACACAGCACTTAATGACTTTTTAACGAGCTTATGGATTATAGACAAGCCAGGCCTATGCTCGGTCAGACTTGATCAGACTCGATACTCCATCGCCACGTCGATCAAGCGCCGCGAATGAAACGCAAGATGACGATAGCGAATATCCGTCTCTATTCACCAGCCACGAGAAATATTTTTTTTCATAGTTAAAGATTACCTTGCTTTCACGGTAACTCTGGGCCCGTCGAACAATACATCCGCATACAGTGTAAGAATGTAAATTATAACATAAATCATACTGCCGTGTGTGCAACGCACGCGGTTGCCTATTAATTATCAAGTAGACAACAAAGAAGTTCTACGTCGCGGAAATCAGCATGGACAAAAAGGAATAATGAAATATTTCCTTTTTCTTGATTACACACGTTTAATTAATATGATATTTACCCGATCAATCTTCGAGTATGTTGTCGGTATAACTGGTTAAACTGCTAAAAGCAGTTTTCCTTAGAAAACTTAAGGGAACGCTGCGTAAGCGCGTTTTTTGGAAATAGGTGAGCCTGTTCCTTACTTTTAATAAACTCGTTTCTATATGATGCAGCGTTGCTTCTCCTCAGTGCATTTCCAACCATCCCTCCCTCCCCTCTTCATCTTCTGTCATATCCCCTCTCAGCCGAAGGAACCGACTTAGTTAATTAAAGTAACCGTCTAGTTTTTTTGATTGACGTCTGCGACGTAAAAAAGTCGACGACATGAGAATATATATAGGTGTATGCTGTTTCAGAGGCTGTTGCGCAATAAAGGAATCACGACTTGGTAAGATGAGTGATGTGGGTTCTTATTAAACGATTGTCTTCATTTATTGTCTTCAACTATCTGTGATAGTTTGACATATTTGATTGCCAAACAAATGCAGAAAGAACAATGATGCGAAATTATTCGTACATTTTTAATTGTACAATGCAGTGCTGTACAGAATGCAAATCATAAGAATCAAGTTTGCTACTGAAGTGTGAAAGTATCAATAAATATTAGCACGAAGTTTAATCGCAAATGGAAAGTTAAAAAAAATAATCATTAATGATAGTAAAAACAATACGCGTACATAGTAACTAAGACTTGATTATATCCAGATTTTATTTCTCGTCCGTTTTCCTAGAACGCAGAACGTTAGCACTGATGTGCCCGATTAAAACTCTGTGCTGGACTGATCAGTAGGTACAGCACGACGCTTTTGCATTATACATAAGCACGAAGAAATCAGAAATAAACTGCAGTTCCAGTTTTGCCGAACACGCGTCGTCACGCTCGGTAGTGGCCTCTTCATTAAAAACATGGCACGAGCAACCGAAAGAAACACAACGTACTCGCGACATTGTTTCACGAATGGGTAGCTCTGACTGACACATATGTAAGATATACAAGGTGCTCAGAATCCACGCCGTTGGATTTAATAACATCTTTAATGATTCTGATGAGTTCAGTATCAATACATCCCTAAAATAAAATATTCAAATGGAGTTTCACAAATTTATGACTCTTGAAGATCAGCTATAAAAATAATGTCAAAACTTAGCAATTTACCGTAAATTGTCAGCCTTTTCCTGGAAAATTTACAAATAAGTGAAACTCTGAGAAATATGAGACGTTAAGATTTCGAGACACCCTGTACGTATATGCGCTACATATCATCCCAAAAAATATGCCACAGCCATCAGCATGAACTTCCACCAGCCTCTGGTCTGCGAGCGTGCGTCCAACGTGCCGGCACAAATAAATCTCTTTCTAATTGCTCGCTGAAAAACCCGACCGCGGTTGCGTCGAGTAAGAGATGGCGCCCGACAAAGGCCAGCAGCGCTAAAACCCAGTCCCGACGTGCTTTATTTCGCTCGGTCGGCCGGTTAGTCGGCGAGCCGGACGAGCAGACCGCGGCCGCTGGCACGGCGGTTTGTTTATTGATATTTACAGCCGGCGTTGACAGCATACGACGCGCATCGACGGTAAGGGATGCGCCTTCGCTCGCGAGGATAACACTGAGGGTTGCCTTTTTCAAACCGCGGCGACTCCCCTCACGCGAGCGTGGCATGTGGAATATAGTTAGGCGTGTCGGCACACTTGGCGCACAAAGCTTTAATTATTTTCTTTTTTCCAGGTGTCGCGCGCGCGCCGAAGTATGTTAGACACACTCGTACAGATGGTTCTTGTGTTGCTTGCCTACTTTGAAACGGGATTACAGGTGATGATCGTGTTTTATGGTGGAGGACCTAAAAATAATATTTATCTATCCACTCTTTTCGTTAAACATTCTACATGACTGCTCGACATTTTCTTAGTCTAGGTGAGACCTAGTAGTCTAGTCTAATTGGCTCAAAGGGTATGTTGGCCATGTGCTTGATTTATGCATATATCATGAGGGGAATACTGAAAACGAAATCGCGGAATATTCTTTTTAAAACGTGTGTATAATACTGTTTTTAAAACTTTTTAGAATTATTTTTTAGGATAAGTGTATGACATGTGTGTTTGTTTCGGGTAATATATAAAAGTAATTTTTATTTACATGAAATGATTAAAATCGAGCATATAGATGAAGTAAAGTTGGCCCATAATTAAGCCATAAGGGCAAAAGGAGCTATGGAGATTTCTCACGGAGAAAACACTACTCGAAACTACCAATCAGGATATATATTTT